AATAAAGTTTTTTTTAATTATTTTTATATATATATATATATATATATTAAAAATAAAATTTAAAAAATAATAAAAATATTATTTTAATATATTTTCAAATTAAAAAAACACTTTAAAAAATAAATATTACTACAACAACAAACACTACTCACTCAACAAAGAACCCATTTGGTAATGTGATTATGATTTATTGTCAAAGTGTTTTTTGCTTGGAATATCAAAATAATATTTTTTAATTTATTTTTTATATTAATATATTAAAAATATAAAAAATAATAATTTAAAATAAAAAATTAATTTTTTAAATACTTTTAAAATATAAAAACAAATAAATTCAAAGTTCTTGTTCAAAGTTTGATTTGAGCTATATTATAATTTATATCAATTTTAATAATAATTTGATTAGATTTAGATAACATGTAAGTTTGATTAAGATAAATCCTTTCAAACTTGATCAATAAAAAAACAAGATTTTTCTTTTAAAAAAAACTGGAACCATTTTTTTTAAGTTAGACCCATATGAAGTCTCCCATGACTCAATAACTAGGATATTTTTTGAGATAAATCTCAAAAATTTAATCCTCAATATTTCAGAATAATGTCAAGCAACCAATTCGGTAGCTACCATTTCTACGGTCTTCACTCAAACGGTTAGTGAACGGTTGTTGTAAGGTTAGTGAGTCAAAATTAAAGGGGGCATGTGATAAATTTGCATGTAACTACTTGGTTTTGTAATAATGATTATTTAAATAAAATTATATTTTTTATATCATTGTATTAAATCAATTTAAAAAACAAATAACTCTAAGAAATAATTTAACTGGTCAGGTTTTGAGTTTGCTATTTAATAATTATAAATTTGAGTTTTTTTAAAGTCATTGGAAATTTACATGATTATTAATTTTAAAATTTATAAAATTAATTAAAATTATCACAAGTTAAATTATATATATTCACCTTAGTTAATATATATATATTAAAAAAATAAATATTTTTTACGAAAGCTCTTTACAAGTTACAACTTATTCATTACATCAAGTGCGATTCCCACTTGTCCAATCTTTTTTTTTTATTTACGTGGGGTGTCCGGGCCAGCTTGCACGCACCACGACTAATCCTCACGACCCACTGAATACCCTGCAAACCCAGTAGGCATGTAAGGCACCGCGGGGGTAACAGACATGCATGTCAGGGCTCGAATCCAGGTGCAGTGGAAAGAGATAAGCCCCTTCCACCACTAGGCCAAGCACTGGAATGCCCACTTGCCCAACCTTTTTTTTTTAGATTAACGTGGGTGTCCGGGTTAGCTTGCACGCACCACGACTAATCCCACAGACCCTAGAGGAAGCAAATCTCTTGATCCCAAATCCTTACCACTTGCCCAACCTTTTAAACAAACATCTTGATTCCAAATTCTTACCACTTGTCCACTCTTATTTAGCGTTGTGCTTGCATTGGCAAAATCCGACAAAGTTGTCACTGCCGAGACCCAACCTTTTTTAGCTTTGTGCTTGCATTGACAAAATCCGACAAAGTTGTCACTGCCGAGAGAAAATCACAGTTAATGCACACAGCCTCTTGTCTGCCCAGAGCATCTGATCAAGGCACTTGTAGGATTAGTATTACCTTGCTATAAACTAATGCTTCCCACGGCATCAGCAAATTGATTAGTACTTAAAAGTGCATTTTTATCATGGTTTTATATCATCATTTTGCACTTGAAGTATCAATAACTCCTTAACTAAAATATGTTTTATAATAATGTATCTAATAATACAAGATACCTGTAATTTGTGGTAAATGTCTATTTTTAATGCAGGCCAAACTTAGAAAAGAGATGTCGGAGCAATCCAAACCGGAACACTGTTCGGTAATTGGGTCATATCTAGAGCTATATATCTCAGATTTAGGTCCAATTTATATGGATGGAAAGGTAAGACATAGGCCTACAACTTTCATATGGAGCCCAAGATCTAAAAAGGCCATTATCAAGTCCAAATTGTAGCAACAACAAAGAAGCCCGAATCTGTCTTCCAGCCCGAGCACTGTTCGGTATTTTGGCCATATCTGGAGTTCTAATGAGAATATAGCATCATCATCCTTATAATTTTTATTATATCAAAACATTATTTAAGAATCATCACAATGTCAAATCAATATTATTATTAATTATAAGAGATAATCTCATCAATATTAATATTATATACAGACTAGTATATAATTATTTTTCAT